GGTTTGCCTTTGCCTGAGGCAGGAATAATGCACAGTACCTTTCTTAGTATTTTCTTTATGTGTACTACAGGAACTTTATCACCCTCTACAGTATGTAAAAAAATATTTATTCAGATACAGTTCTGAACTGATATGTATAATGAGGTTTCAAGGACAATGACCTGGTACCTGACACTAGCACTTCCATAATGAAACAACATGGTGAAGAAAAAAATTGCATCATTAATCTCCAAAACCATATACCTTTTTTACAATACCATTCAATACAGCAAGAGATCATAATAAAATTAAGAACCTAATCACAGAATCATAAGAATGAACTCAGTTTGAAAAGACCTTTAAGATTATCAAGTCCAGCCATTACCCCAGCACTGCCAAGATCACCAGTAACCCATGTCACTAAGGGCCTCATCTACATGCTTTTTGAACGCTTTCAGGGATGGTGACTCCACCATTCCCTAGGCAGTCTGTTCCAGTGCCTGACCACCCCTTCTTCTCCGTGAAGAAATTTCTCCCAATATCCAATCTAAACCTTCTCAAGCACAGCTTGAGGCCATTACCTCTTGTCCTATCACTTGTTACCTAGGAGAAGAGACTGATCCCCACCTCACTACAACTTCATTTCAGTTAGTTGTAGAGAGCAATAAGGTCCCCACCTCAGCCTTCTCTTCTCAAGACTAAACCCCTCCAAGGTCCCTCAGCTGTTCCTCATCACACTTGTGCTCCAGAATCTTGAGCAGCTTCTTTTCCCTTCTCTGGACCCACTCCAGCACCTCCATGTCTTTCTTGTAGTTAGGGGCCCAGAACTTAACACAGGATATGAGGTGCAGCCTCTCCAGTGCCCAGTACAGGGGATGATCACTGCCCTGGTCCTGCTGCCACACTATTGCTGATACAGGCCAGGAGGCCACTGATCTTCTTGGCTTCCTGGCCACAAGCTGCTCATGTTCAGCTCCTTCAATCAGCACCCTCAGGTCCTTTTCCACTGAGCAGCTTTCCAGCCACTCTTCCCCAAGCCTGTAGTGCTGCATGCAATTGTACCCCAAGTGCAGGCGACATTATCCACAGTCCATTGATCCAGCCTGTCCAGATCCCTCTGAGCAGAGGCAGAGCCTTTCTGCTCTCCAGCAGACCAACACTTCCAGCCAGCTTGATGTCATCTACAAATTTACTGAGGGTGCACCCAATCCCTTCATCCAGATCCTCAACACAGACATTAAACAACACCAGCCCTAACACTGAGCTCTGAGGGACACCACTGGTGACCAGTCGCTAACACGATGTGACACCATTTACCACCACTCCTTGGCCTCTGCTAAGATACAGTCAAGAATAGATAAAACTGAATGTAATGCTTCAAGCACAGCTCTGTGTTACCTATCCACACTGCATGCCTTGTGCTTTGACTCAGGCAGTGTTTTTTAGAACTATATCACTTCAACTTTAAGCAAACCAGCACCACGACATAAAAACCACAGCCATCACCACACATACATCGCACACCCTCCTCACCTGTCTTCTTCCCCCCCCTACAACACAGAATTTCTTCACACCTCTCACTAGAAAGCACTCACGTACAGGCACCCCAGCAGCAGACCCCCGCGCGCAGCCCCCTCACATACGCTGCCCTGCAACTCCCATCCCGGCCTACCTTGACTACACCTACCCTTCGCCCACCGTAGCCCGTCACAAAGGGCCTCACCTTGCCATTGGTGGGGGGCTCCTGGATGTAGATGTTGCTCATTGTCGAGAAAGGAGCGTCCCAGCAGGTAACCAACTGCTCAAGCAAGACACTCAACTACCCTTCGCCACTAACTCTCCCTACCACCCCGAACCTCCCGCCATCTTGGGCCCCTTTATGCAGCGAAGTGAGATAGGGAGGAAATTGCCCAAGCCAAGAGGAAGAACGAAGGGATGAGTGCCCTGCCAAAGTCTTTACGGGAATCACTAAGGAAGAAATTCATTTGAGAAAGACTTCTCCAGTTCCATGCAGTCCCTCTCTGTGGCTTCCGTCAGGTACTGAGGTCCCCTGTCCTCCCTGTGAGTGGTACGGTCGGAGAGTGCACCGAGCAAAGTCTTCCGGCGGGGAGAGGAGCCCCTGCGGGCGCGGGCCGGGCGGACTAGGACTACGGGGTGAGGCGGCATGGCTTTACCGGGTAAGGGCGCCCCGCCAGATTTGTGGGGGAAGGAGAGACAGTGACCGACTGGCCCCGGTGCTGGCGTGTTGGGAAGGGGAGATAAGCGGCGGGGTGATGGAAAATTACGCGGGGAGCGCGCGCGATTGTGCGTCGTAGCTGGAAGCGTGAGGCGGAGAGGGCGGCGGCGGCAGCAGCAGCATCTTGTCGCATCTGCTGCAGGCCGCCCGGGCTGCCGGTGGAGAAGCGTTGCTTTGGTGTGCACGGCCGGCATTCCAAACCAGCCGGCCTGGGGGCAGCGGGAGGGAGATGGCATGGAGGAGGCCGCGCGTCGGGCCAGCCGCTGGTGAGCGCAGCCCTTCGTGCAGTCCCTTCTTTCTAGGCCTCCGGGCTCTCCTCCCAGAGTTCTACATGAGAGAAGACCAGGTACTGTGTTCCTCTTGTCTGTTACTATAAACCACCTTGTTTAAAGTTATATCCAAAGCATGGTTATTGTCAGACTTGTTTTTCCTCCTCGTCGTTTGCTATGCATTAAAGCTTGTGTCCTAGTATATTACTGTTTAAATGGACCCATCGAGAATAATGAGACAGGAACTGGAAGAAAGGCTTGCACTGTATGTGAGGTATTTGGGTCTACGTTAGCCACACATATGGCCACTGCTTAAAGATTTCTTGATCCTAAGACATGAGGAGTGCTTGGTTGAAGAACAGCTGAATAAGCCTGAGCCTTGATAAGCTGCTCCTGAGAAAAGAGAAGACCTTAATAAGCTTACTTCCATTCCGGAAGGGGTTCTTGAGGAAGACATCTCATGTTTGCATTCAGAGGTTTCCAAAGATTTTTTTGCAGCCTTGTGCTCTACTGAATGAGTAAGGTCCTTAGTGGTGGTTGTTGCTGTGTCAGTTGTAAATCTGGAAGATTCATATCTTGAAAGAAGAGAATGAGAACAGGAAGCTTCACAGCATCATAGAATTAATTGGTTTGGAAGGGACCTTAAAAATCATATAGTTTCAATCCTCCTGCTTTGGGCAGGTACAAGTTACTAGACCAGGTTGCTCAAAGCTCTGTCCAGCGTGGTCTTGAACACTTTCAGGGGTGGGGCAGCCGCAACTTCTCTGGGCAACCTGTGCCAGTAATTTGATTTAATAATCTAAAACTTCACCTAGTGTAAAACCCTGCTTCTAACATTATTATTTAAAGCATTATTATAACATTATTTATTTATTAAAATTTAAATTATTTAGATTAATTAACAGTTACATTTCAGTCTCAGGAATTTGTTGTGAGTATTTAGTAGCAATGTTCTTGTCATCTGCTGGATGTATGTTTTGGAAATCCTGGCAAATGGCACCCCCACGTATTACAGAACATACTGCAGTGTGTGCCTGACCATACTGATCTGGCTTCCATGGAATACCAACTCTTTCTTTACCTGCAGGTCAGTTACACAGTAGCACCAAAGTTTACTGAGGATTTCAGAAAGCTGAGAGAAAGCATGTAGTATGTAGCTTGGGTGATCTTGTGTTTTATTCGCAACTTGTAGTGAACAAGCCAATGCTGTTTCGAGTATTTCTTTGACATGATGTCACAAGACACAGGTATACTTTTGTACCTTGGTTCTTGAGACTTTCTTCTGTGTTCGTTACCTCTTTACCTCTCATGGGTTTTCCTGAAATGATAGTTACAAACCAAGCACCTACACACTGCTGAATTTATAGACCTGGAAGGTGACATGTCATAGTAAGGTTTTGGGATCCACAGAAAACCTTGTGTCATAATAGTATGTAAGTACCCAAATTGCTTAGTTTTCCAGTGCTCTTCAGGACATAGACCAGTGAGTTGTTGAGGTTTTAAGTTATTTTTTCAACCTGGGGTTTGAAGGTTTCCCTTGTTATTTTGAGTAGGATTTTCTAAAGGCAGTGCTTGTCTCCGTCGAGAAAACTTTAAATTCATGGAGCTGATGTACCTGCTTTCTGCTTCACTAATTTCTGTCATGCATTTCTCCTTGAATTTGCTTAATTATCTATTTAAATAAATTAACCTAGTTATTAAATAAACTGTATGTAGTTGTTTAAGTTGCTTTTTTATATGTTTCATTAAGTTGCAGGATAGAAAGGCACCCTTTGATTTTGAAAATTCAGTTGTGACTTTCATTATGGATATTGATATATTTTTGGGGAGCAGGTCTCTGGGATTTCTCTTCTTTTGAGTCATGTCCTACTATGTCTGTTTAACTTAACTGTGAGATCAGATGGGGAAATCACACACTTGCTGTCCCTAAAATTTGTGCTATTATGGTCCTCCTTCCTGCGCAGCATTTACAGATATTTTTGTTACTCACTTCACTTTATTCCACATTTGCTTTCTTGCACCATTAGTTCTTTTTATTTGGCATCATGTTGTCTGGATTCAGAATAATTTAATGATTAGCTTAGCTTTTTTTTAAAAAAAAAAACGAACACAATTGCTTTTGTCTTTTTTTTTTTTTTCACTTTTCAGGAGTGATTTTTTTTTTTTTTTAAATTGGCTTTTTAACACAGTTCTTGTAATTAGAATATAAATTACTTCAGAGTTCCCAGTGACTGTTTGTCAGCATCCACGCACTACTAGAATTAATAAGTAGACCTGTAGTGTGCAATTAGGTACCACTGGAATATCAGATAGCTATTACCATGTTCGTGCTGTAACAAAACAAATGCGTAAACCTTCAGAGGCACAGAATAATTGTTAAAATTACAACAGAAAGAACAGAATAAATCAAATGAGAATTTGGTAGTAGGCTGATGCACAGAAAAGTGGCCTTAGAAATGCACTGGTTTGCTTTGCTTTAAGTTTTTTAAGACATCTTAGTGTACTTAATACTCTGAGGCAGGATCACTCCTGTCTATGTATTGACATTATCAAGCTAGGTTTAAAAGAAGCTTGACGGTTCTGTTTAGCAACACCTAACTGATGAAATTTTATCTTTCAGGTGGAAATAAGGATAATATCAGAGCTGGATGCAAGAAGTGTGGCTACCGTAAGTCTGTAGTAAGCAATGTGGAGTTACAGCGTTTTCTTCAGTTTATGATGTTGGAATTGCCTTTTGAAGAGTGGGGGGAAATAAATGTTCTCCCTTGTTGCACAGATGTTTGTCAGTTTAAATTACCATATTTTAAAAAATTATTTATTTCCTATACATTCTCTAGCTACTTACACCTATTTCTGCATTTGAAAATTCTTGAGTTTTCTCAGGGAAAAAAAAAAACATGAAGTATGCTATTTTATTCACATATGCTACATTTGCAATGCAATTACTTGAGAAGCTTTGAATTGAATGCATAGTCTTCGATATCTGTTGAGATTAGCATTTGTGCTTCTTCTGAGTCTCACTGCAAACTTAAGCAAGTGTTTCAGTTCAACTTAGGTCTGTTTTAAAAGAAAAAATAGTTTAAAATCTGTATGATTTTCTGTGTGAAGAAAACACACTTTGTGTATTCTGTGTTTCAAGAAACATTTCTGTCACAAGTTCTGTAGTTAAATTTAGCTCATGCTTTGCATTATGCTCTGATCATACAAGCATCTCTGTGGCTGCTCTCCTGATGAATGGAGACAGGTCTTAGTGAAGACTTTAGTCTGTTAATCACTAGCTCTTACTTTTACAACAGTGGAGCAGTGGCTGGTGTTTGGCAGTAAATTGTGCTGAACTTTTAACAGCATGATTTAGTCTCTTTTAAATGAGTGTTATGTGAGATGAAGGGGGAAAAGCTTGCTTCATTATTCCACTGCTGACTTTGCCTCCAAAAAATTTTGTCAGTGAATTGCTTTGTATATCTGTTCTTCCAACATAGCTTGGATATCAATATAAATTTAGTGGTTCGTTTCTACATGCAGTAAATGTCAAGGTTTCTGGAAGATAATAAAACTTGCAGTCAAATCACACATTCTGTATTTATGTTCCTAAAAGGTCTGTCTTCAGATGTAGGTATTTTGATATGAAGATGAGTTTATTTCAATAATGTCTTGAATTCCAGTGTCTTTAGCTGAGTTTCTCCCAAATCATACCTTCACTTTGGTTTATATGTCTTTATTATTTCAGTAGGTTTACTTGCTCTGGTCACTATTATTGAGATTAACTTAGAAAACTAAAAATACTAGCCAAGCAGTACCTCAGTCAGTAGTAAGTAGTGGTTGTAAAAAATTGTCTTGTAAGCGAACAAGATTCTTCTATAACGCTGGAGGAGGCAGAAATATCAATGTAACACACTTGCCACGTTTTTTTTTAAATATTTTGCTTCATGCTTTTAGGTAATTTCTTCAGGACGGATCTGAGACTATTAAAAAAAAAGGAAAATAAAGGTTGGACAAAATCTTGAAATTAGGTATAAGGGAGAGGTCATAAAGCACTCTTAAAGGGATAACCTGTTGAAATCCATCGAGGTTTCTTCAAAGTAAGCCTTCTCCCTCCTTGTTCACAGATTGCTCCCTAGCATTTTTTCACTTCTTAAAACTGAATCATACTAAAATGTATGTTCTTTAGTTTCTGTTGGTTTTGGTAAATTGTTTTTTTCTTTCTGAATATTTGTTTTGTTCAGCTGGTCATCTGACATTTGAATGTCGAAACTTCCTCCGGGTAGATCCGCAAAGAGATATTGTTTTAGATGTCAGCAGCACTAGCAGTGAAGACAGTGAGGAAGAAGAACTACAGAGATTGCAAGCTATGCGTGAAAAAAAGAGTAAGATGTTGTTGTTTTTTTTTTGTTTGTTTTTGTTTTTTTTTTGTTTTTTTTTTATAAATACATTGGATAGTGGGAATGCCCATTTTATACTTTTTTTATAACTACCGGTAGTTCTTTTCAGTCTGTGCTTTAAAAGGTGGTCTTTTACTTCATGTGCTCAGGCTTCAGGGATTTGCTACACCGGCATCTTTTTTTAATTATCATTAATTCCTGTCATAGCAAATTAGTATTGTACACATTTGGAACGTCTCAAAAAGGGCTTATAAATGCAGAAGGTTGTAAGACTATTACTAAGAAGCTGCTTAGGAGAAAATGACATGGACATTTTGAGTTAATCTGTCATTTATGGCATGTAGTTTAAAAATCTTAAAGTTAATAGTAACTCTTAAAACTAATGACAAATATGACAGTTGAATTTATTTCCAGGTTCTAAGTTGTGTTTTGACTGAAGCAGCCAGTGAATTGAATTTAAACATTCATATTTGGAAAAGTACTGTTCTTTCTTTGTAAGGTCTGAGCCTCAGTTGTTTGTCAGAGAGAGAATAGGTGGGTTATTTAGCAGATAACTTGAGTTCATTTGAATTTGAACTCCTAAGAGGCTGTTCCCCTCCCTCCTTCTTAGGGGAGGTTGTTCCAACATATGAAGTTTTAAATACATGAATATTCTTCCCCTGTGCCCCTTGAAATGTCATGTTTTGTTCTATTGCTTTCACATTCCAGGCTCACATTCAGTTCCTACTATACAAATTATTTAGAAAGGAAAAGGGTTAGAGAGAACCTTTTAATTTGCTGGAACACTTCAAAAGAAATGGATAGTCTGCTTGTCAGGAGTACTGAGTTGGTACTGTAACAGCCCTTTCTGTTCCTTTCTGGAACAACTCTCTTTGGAAAAACTTGTTCTCATTATGTACTTTTGGATATAAGGTTTTTTTTTGGCCTTAAACTGATTGAAGAGGGGTGTCTGCAGGAAAAAGAGCTGTTTACTTGATCTTGTAATAACTCTGTTTATTATATGTTCTTTCTTGAATTGTGGCTGCTATGTGTACTGTAAGGAGATATGGATCTTTAATTTTCCATTATCTAGACAGGATTTTGCTATTTTCAGGTGGCCTCATCTTTGCTATTTTCAGGTGGCCTCATTTTTGCACTGTTTTAAAAAAACTACTGAGTGCTTGTTCACGCATTCTTGTTCATGGTTTTTAATTGCTCCAAAAGTAATTTGCTTTTTGTAACTCACATTGAATTCTTTAAAATTTCACTTGAGAGCATACTGGTACCAGTAATTTCTATTCATGGTAGCAAATGAATAACTGCACTACCATGCAGACTCTATGGAAAGTTATTTGTATGATAGAAATAAGATTGAATGCTCAAAAGTTGCTATCTGTTTTAAGGACAAATTATAAAGCCAGTATTTTCCTGTTAGCTGACACTGTCATGTGTATTTATAGAGTGGATTTGCATTTCAAAGAATTCAAAAATACTTTTTGAACTGCTATAGAAAAGTCTAAAGTAAAAAATTTCATCCAGTGTGATAAAAATATTGCTTGTAAGTGAAATGTGAAGATGCTCTACAGTACTATGAAGTGTCAGGGCAGGAAACAAACATGACCAGATAAGGGGTGACTCTTCTGTCAATTTTTTGTAGGCACTATTGACAGTTAACTCAAATGTATCTTAGTTAATGGCATAGCTATTTTTGCAGCGTGAGATGAGGATGTATGAAGTAATTCAGTTAAGGCTAAGGGATTGTTTGTTTGTTTGTTTGTTTGTTTGTACCTTCTAGTTAAATGATCTGTTTTCAGACTTGGGCAATACTTTTAAAATACAGAAGAATGGATATGAAAACCTAAAGCTGATGTAAACATATATAGTCACAGGTTTGCTGCATTTTACAGGCCTTCCTTCATTTTTAGTGGTTGGATCAAAGTCATTAGAATGTAAGTTGTATGGAAAGTTCTGCTACTCTGCAAAATATTTCTGAAATTACTATACTAGACCAGAATTTGGAGGAAAGGAAAAAAAAACTTTTAACAGGCATTTTGTGGTAATATTACATTGCTATTGAAGGCACGCTTTTAATGCTGATCTTAACTTAGACAAGTGTTTTGTAAACTGTAACTTTTTATCCATAGATTTAAATGAGGAGGAAGAAAAAAAGAAACAAAAACGAAAAAGCAAAGAAAAAACAAAATTAAAAAGACCAAGGAAAAGGTAACTCTATCACATACCTATTTTATTTTCAAAATAGAACTTCAGAAATATTTCTGATGTTTGGGTTGTTTCTCAGAGAGCACTGCTTCTATTGATGCAACTTTATTTGCAAGTACATCTTTGGTTTAAAAAACTTCCTGTTCTCTAGTGAGAACTTGTTTGTTCTTTGAGATATACTAAAGCCCTAGGCTTTCTGCTGTGGATTTAAGACCTTGGAAGTCTAGAAAGCTCTAGCAAGTTTGAGGTCTGCAGGTCTGAGAAACCAATGCTACTTCTGACTATTCAGTGCTAGGCAAGATGTGGTGGGAAAAGAACAATGAGTCAGGAGCAATATGGAGTTGGTCCAGAGCTTAGAGAAACCTCTCTGCAGTTCAGGGATCCTAAGATTCACTGTGTGCATGCATGCATGTGTAGACACACACACACTCTGAGTAACATGTAACTATCAGAAAGAACAGTTTTGTAGTTTTACTTAGCATGTGTTGACTTTCAATGTTACTGTTACTATAGAAGCCGAAGTTAAGTGTTACTGTAATTTCAAAGGAAAATGCCATAATACCCAAATCTGTTGTGAATTTGAGTTTTGGCCTGCTGACTGATTTTTTAATCTTTTTTTTCTTTTTAGATGAGACTATAGACTGGTTAGTCATTAGGACTGTTGATGAGACGAGATCCCATGAACAGCATTGAGAGCTAGGAAATATGTAACATATTTGAAGGCCACAGTATGGTGTTTTTCAGAAGTAATCAAACAGGATTTAGCACCGGTTGTATGGGCATTTATCTCCTTCCTTATTTACATAAAGTAGCTCTGACTTAAACTTACAGAGACAGTAGAAAAGAATCAGTCTGCTGGCTGTAGTCTTTACAGGCAAGTAATTAATAATCATATAAAGAATAGCATAAACGTGCCCTCTTGAGTATAATAATCATGACTTTTCATTTACTATCATCTTAATTCTTGGATATATGTAGTCACTCATCACTGCTGGTTAGAGATCAATATTAGCAGCTGCAAGAGCGTCCAAATTTGTGGTACATAGTTCTCTTAGATTTTGTATGAGAGAAATACAATAAAATTTGTCTAAAGGTGTTACTATAGCATTGTTATTGGTCATAAGATATTTTAAAAGCAGGAAGCGCTATCATATTGTCATACTTTCAGTTTTCAGTCAATCTGTACTCAGTCTTCTTGAATGTTTCAAAGCACAACTTGCCTATTCCTTTGTTACTTATCATAAGGTAAACATACTGCTTTTCTGGCACAATAGTCTAATTAGATAGTCTGATTATCTATCACAATAGTCTAATTAGAAAAGTCATCGTTCAGTTGAACATGCAGACCAAGATATCATAAGCTTTCCAGTGGATGTACATATTCTACACCGTGTTCAATTTGTGACATTATATAAATACTGAAATTACCCCCCCCCGCATTATGTTTGTGGCATTATTCTTCTTTATATATCAATCTGTGTATATTTTTTTCCTAGATCTTCCTCATCAAGTGCAGCTGAAGAGGATGGGCCAAAGTCAAAAAGACAAAAAACACACAAAAAAGAAAGGGAAAAGGAAAAAAAGAATAAATCTAAGAAAGGAAAACATCATAAAAAGGAAAAAAAGAAGAGGCGAAAGGAAAAAAGTTCACCTTCTGATAGTTCGGACAGTTCTAGTAGTGACTGAGGTGCTGGCCTATTTTTGTGTTCACTTCTATAGAGATGATTTTCATTTCAAATCAAAATTATTATGCTTTGCAATCCTGTTGTTTTAAAATGATATATATATATTTTTAAGAAATCTGTTTGCAAATATTAGTGCTTCAAACTATTAATAGACTTTAGGGAAAAAGCCTGTTCTTGTGTTTAAAGACATGCAAGTCTGTTTAGTTCTCCACTCCTAAGTTCAGTTGTGAGTACTTGCGTTTGGAATCCTTTACTGTAGGATATGATAAACTTCAGTTTGCAAGTCTTTGTGTAGAAAGATGTGGATTTAAATATGTGTACTAACAGAATGGGTAAATCAAACCTGGAAATTCAAACGAGGTTTTCTATTGTTATCATTTAAATAAAGGTATGTTTTTTAGAACATTTTCTGCTTACATACATTAATCAGTAAGTCCAAATATGAAATAGTATTTGGGTCCAGAGAAGGGAAGAACAGGCAGTGAGAAACTGGAAGACATTGCTTCTTCAGAATTATCTTGTAAAATTGATTTAGTCAGACTGTGAAACACAATTCCACATTCTTTTGGCAGGATCGCTGTAAGCAAGCTGTAAACAAGCAAAAACAAACAAAAACTATTACTCTATGATTCTATTAATTTTTCAAAGTCTTTTCTGCCTAGGTTTTGTTTTTTTACAATTATGGTCATTTCATCTTAAGCATAAAGTGCCACTTCCTAACACTAGTTGTCTGTCCAGCAAGATTGTTTACAAAGTTCTAAGAACTATGTTAATACAGCATGTGGTGATTAATACATGAATCAAAATGGGAAATTAGAAGACTGACAAGAATTGTGAAGACTCCGCTCATTCTAATAAAACTATCACTGAAAAGTTAAAAACCAAACAAATAAAGCTCTTGTGGAATGTCAGCAATACATCATGTTGAAGTCAGTAGCAAAATATACCATTTGCTATCAGGAGCAATGTTAAGCATGTCAACATTTAATAACTCGGTTCTGGGGTATCCAGTTCATGTCTTGTACTGTGGTAGGGTACTGGTGCAAGACAGACTGATTCTTTGGAGTTGAGCAGGTGGTGTATAATTCTACCTCAGAAATGCCTAAACCTCAAAGTGATTATGTTTACAGCTTCTTGAAAATGCTGTTTGTGCCTGTGGTTTCTTTTTCTTTTTTTGAGGAGGGAGGGTTAATACATTAGACATGGAATTGTTTCCACCTGAGCAGCTTGCATACAGCTGCAGTATAAGTCTCATGGGAGTGAAAATAAGAGGGAGAGCACCTAGGCCTTGGATATTATTGTCAAAAAAGCTCATGTTTTCTGTGATGGGTTAGAGCACTGAGTCAGTACAAAAATATTTCACGGTATTTTAATGGTTACTGTGTTTTTTCTGAAAGTTAGATACCTAAATCTGATTGTCAACATAAGAGAGACATAAAAGGTTGCCCTTATTACTGGGCAACTCTTGGTGTAGGTGCTGTGCTAGGAACATTAAGAATAAAAATACTCATAGAAGCCAAAGAGCAAAGAGAAATTACCTGTAACCTTCTTTGTAGGTCTCTCAGTAGATGTCAAGAGTCCTTGCATCTGCTCTTTTTCCTGCTGACTTTGTTCTAGTCTAATTTTTCATGTCATATATAATGATTTTTGAGATGGGCTTGGGTACATAACTGGAGACTGGACCCCTTAATTAGCTAATGCCTGTGCATAGTTTAAAGAACACTAATTTCAGAAATACTAATCTAACTAATCTAGTTTCCTTAGGGTTGCTGTGGCTGTTAGAGCTTATTTTTGACAGGCTTAACTCTCTAGACAGTCATTCTGTAGAGAGCACAGGAGAGTTGTGGGCTACCCAAGCCAGTACTGTTGCCAGAGGAAATATTTAATCAGACCACAGTTTAAGACACAACTCATTATACTCCACCCCTCCCTTCCCTCCCTAAAATGTTCCTTATTTAATGAGATTAGAAGGGTTACTGGAGTTAGGAGAATTCAGATGTAATATGTAATTCTGCCATGATCTTCCTGTGATCTCGTCTCCGATCATCCCATGATGCCAACTCTGGGGAATGGGAGTTTGTACCCTTCTTGATTTCTGAATCAGCTTCATCTGAAGACAAGGATGGCTGAAGCATTCGTTAACCCTTATTAGAGTTAGTATATCTCTGTGGATAAGTAATCTATCAAACTATATTTAATGACAGAGAATGGATAGAGGCTTAAAGTTCAGGAAGACAACTGATATATATTTTAGTAGTATTCTTTATACTTCTGTGTAGTTTCAAATAGCCATTTTAGATTTTTAGTTCTAATTGCTGACATCAAAAGATTATGTATCTAAATGCTGATAGTGTAACTACTGTCCATGTAGCTTTACAGCAGCTATTTATGGTTGTTACAATGGTATTTTGTACAAGAGCGTGAGACATGAATTCCACTATTCATGTCTTGGCACTTGTTACTAGCATACAGCAGGCTCCATCAGTGGGCATGAGGAAACAAAGTAGATACCTGCTGTTTCCTTCAGTTTTCTTTCCCAGAGAGCCGAAGAAAGATGTGCATATCTGCCACCCAGCTAATAACCAGGGAACAGGCTGTGCTATAAAATGCACCAAAGGCTGGAGTCACTGAATCAAAGCTCTATAAAACTATTTTACAAATAGCTGAAGGAAACATACATTCACAGCACAAAAATTACAACTTCACCATTCTCTGCAGCATGTGAGTCACCATGGAAAATCCTTTCTTCTCTTTGTTGATGTAAAGTATATATACTTTTTAAGTACCTAAAAAAATTGAAAGTTATTTTCAGCACATTCAAATAGATTTGTAAAACACATTTTAATGTAATTTAAATATGTATCAAATTGGTGGGAGAATTGAACAAACCGTAGTAAATAAAACAAGAATGGATAAAAAAAACTTGATAGAAACTCTTCTACAATAAAAATGCCAGAACACTGAAACTGTTCACAAGAAATTCTAGAATAACAATCATCAAGGCAATTATAGGGGACAAAGAAGAATATGAGGGAGGTGGTGATAGCAGAAAATAAGCAATTGCAGAAGAAGTACAAGAGTGAAGAATCCAGAGAATAGAGAAATGCAAGTGCATGGACAGAAAATGCTGAAACAGTCTAAACCAGTGATTAGCCAGTACAGGAAAATCCTGTCAAGAACATATTTTCATATAGAAAAAAAATATACTTGAGAAATAAGATCAGAGGGAAATGTTTATCTGTAAATGCAAATATTTTCCTAAAAATGTTGGAGTGTAAATAATACCAATAAAGGAGAAGAGTCTGTAATAAGAACAGGCTATTCATTTAAACTCTAGCATAGTATTCTAAATGTGGCTATTTACAGTTTTCTGTGTAAGCTAAATATTTGTCCCACTGGAAAGTGTACTGTGAAGAAGAATGATTTATCCTTATTTATCTGTATTTTATATAAATACTCCTGAGGCTTTAACTTAGTGTAATATTTTATAAAATATCCTGGCAGAATTTTGGACATCGAGAATTTAAAAAGAAGAATTAAGTTGAGCTGTAAGAAACATGCTGTATAATAACTGTATATGAATAATACCTTAGCGTTCTTTCATCCCAGTGAACTTTAAAGCTTTGTTGTTATAAGCTGCTTTTATGGATCCTCTATTCGTAACTGATGCACCATTAGTATACAGTGATATTCTGAATATAATAGTTCACAAATGACAATGTCTATCTATGTAAAACTCCAAAAAAAAAAAAAAAGACAAAACTGCAGCTTATTTTGGGACCGCTCCGCTACAGTAATTTCAAGCTGAAGACAGATGGTCCTAAGAAAATGCAAACAAGAACAGGTGATCAACTTTGACAACTATTTTTTATATGTACATCAATTTCAAAATACTTTATCACAGTTTACTTAGTATCGAACCCAGATCTGAGGGGAAGGGAGTTTCAATACTGTTTTAAATATAACAAATATGAGTTTAAGCCATGGTATGTGCTTGTAATGTTTATTTATCATTCCTACTGATCACTTATTTTTCTTTATTGTAAGTTATTTTGTTATCTTACAGGAAGTTCAGCAAAGTCCATAAAACCCCTCTGTTTCTTCAGCTGTTACATCCCTCCTGGTTATCTGTCACTCTTTTCACTCTTACCTCTCTTTTCTTCCATTTTCAAGGAAAGCATCTGTTCCAAAACACTTGACCTGTATTAGTCTGAAAAGTATGAGTTTTTTGTGATTTGTAGATTAATTCTAGTTAACAAAAAAATGCAAGCTCAAAATCAATTATTTGATCCAAATAAATTACTAAAAATTATAAAGAACATTAATCCTGAAATATTACAGAAAAACAAATGGAGTCAGCTCTGAACTTGTAATGCAGTAAAGCAAACTTTTCCATATAAAGATTAAAAATGTGGGTGTATGGGACTCTGAAGTATATGTAATTCACTATGCAGGTTTGAGTTTTCCACATTATGTTTAGAGGGGAATTGGTTAAACTCTTGACTTGGGCTTATAACAGAAGTCTGGGGATATTTACCAACTCAGAATTATTAAACAAGGTAACCATTACAGGAAGAATAATCTATTTTTGAAGGCAACAGGAAGCCTACAACAGTGGACACTAATGAGCTGTCTCAAACAGGCTTCAGATCACATGAACAGAAACTTTTTAAAACAAAATGTAAAAAACTCAGGTACTGATAGGTGTTTCACTGACCTCAGAAGCATCTGGGCATTCATCTTAAAAACTTTCTTAATATGATACTAAACTCAGGGATTTAATTTCAGTATTTAGTTAACCAATGCATGATGGTTTGCTGTAGAAAGGCTAACTTGCCAAACAGTTCCAGTAGGTTGGTTAAGCTTTGCTTTGAGGTTCTTCCTCAGTTCAGACCAGCTCTCTAGTGAGGTATCAGAATTAAAGAAGTTGCTGTGGTATTAAGCCCAACTTCAGAATAAAAGAAGTAGGGAAGACTAGGAGGATGAAGTTTTCTTTTCTGGGAGACTGGGTTGCTTTTGCCAGGGACTAGGAATGCAAGGTACTGGAAGAAGCATGAAAGAAAGTCTAACAAAAAAAGGCTTTTTGTGGATTTGTACCAATGAGAACTTCACTATTTCTTTCAAAGGAGAAAAAGCAGATTCTTAATTCTTTGAAAGACATTTTTTTTTTAGATAAATAACCTTGACTTACTTAAGGTAATCTTTTCTATTACATTTAAATTCTACAAATCTGCTTTGCCAAATCTTTCCAAATCTCTTAATTGTTCTGAATCTGAACTGATGTTCTCTCTAGAACATCTGCCAGACCTGTTCCATGTGCAATTGCTGTTTCTGCTGCTATTGTATCTTCTGCTGACTAAAAGAGATTAATGGTTTGAATCTGGAGAAAGACAGCTAAAAGAGTG